GTTGCGTATGTTTCCCATTTGGCTGCTGGCATCATTGCTAATATTGGCAGATCTACCTCCGCTACCGGCAGCATTCGCTTCCCATTGATCATAAACAGGCAAGGTCACGAGAGACTCAAGTTTCCCATATTCCAGCAGGAACTGCTCTATCAACGTCACTGGAGCCCAGCCGACAACCTCGGCCGTATCAAACTCCTCATCAACCAAAGCTTTTCCAGTGCTTCGCCGAGCGTTTTGTTCACGGGCAAGGTCAACAAGACAGTCGTCTTTTCCTTTCAACATGCACCCCAACACATTTTAGAAGGCCTTCAGATTGCCTGGCCTAACCCAGCCATGTGGAATCGTCAACGCCAACCTTCTGCACCAGCTTCTACCGATAGTCCCCATGTCAGCTCACGCCCACCACTTTTTGCACGTCGTGGACAAGCGGGCCCGGAACATATTAATGATGTCGCTCTTGGAACGATGCCATTTTCTGGTAACCCTACATACGGATGCCCAAATACTCCAGTGAACGGGCCAATGTCACCATGGAGTTATGTTCTCATCCCGCCAGGAAGAGAAGGGTCACCATATTTGTTGGCTTCCGAGGTGCAGCCTCGTAGAAACCACGAACGAGCATGGCCGACTTCTCCGATTTTCACCGACGCCACGTTTAGGTTGGATCAGACCCAGAATGCATCGCAACAGATGTACCCCCAGCCGAACAGTGCTCCGATGTCATTTGTGCAACCTCAGCTACACAGTCCTGCGATTCAAAGGTCGACCGAATTCGGCCGAGGAACTCCAAGAAATCCTGCCAAGCTTGTCTTTGCGCCGAAACGCAACAGTCCACAGGAGTCTTTCAACTTGGATGTTATTGAGAGGGCGACAAAGAGAGCTCGAACCAACACTCCAGAGTCTGCAAAGACACTTAACCACGAACAGCATAATAACAGCCCTCACTTTGGTAGCCCTTACGAGTTGATAACCCTAGCTGAGGATATCATTTGATATCTTACGAGCGGATTGGGCGGTCTCCCTGTAGTCAATTACGGAACGCATCACATGGCATGGTAGGGGTATGTTATCTCACTGTTTCCGACATTTGTTGCTCTTGTCCTACATGTAGCATTAATCCATGTTTTATCACATATCAACATTTGTTATCTAGCTGGTTAGATGCACAAGCTTAGTTTAACCTTCGACAGGCAGTCGTTAATACAGCATGCGATGATTCATCAGCTTCGCGAAGGTTCCGGGCTTCCGTCTTAATGCCTTGCATGTAAACGACCTTACAGAAATATGAATGGCAGGCTAATAGCAGCTTATAACACCTTGTACGACAGTTGTAACACCCAGTCTCGTCATGTTGACTCACTCAACGTGGAAGATTCGAGGTCGGTCATTCAACCTCCGTCCTCCAGTCCAAAGTTCATTCATTACAAAGCTGGGAATAAATTCGGTCTCGGGGTTTATTGCAATTCCGTATGTTGCGAAACCTCAAAAGTAGGGGCCGTTCTGACCATCTCGTTCTCTTTCAAATGATCGAATTGGTTTGGTTAGGGTCGCACAACTTCTCATCCTCAAGCCTCTTCTTATATCGTGTAGCCCATTTCCACCCAACCTATAACGAGATAACTGCCGACCTGATACGATTCGTGGTTTTCATGTCGATCTATGCGAGTTCGTCAAAGGATCAAAGTGTTCACATAAGCATCCACCTCAAGGCCATCGCGCGACTGAGATGAGATTGGCCACTCTCACTGACCCCAAGATATCCGGGCTTACCCATAGCTGAAGCTGAACGGAAACTCCGACAGTCATCTAAGGCTTATAGACAATCCGAGCATCCTCAAGCCCCACGGCTTCCGGCTTCCGCTAGGCCGCAATTTCTGGCCTGGAGGAGTAAATGCGCTACACAATCTTATCGTTCCACGCTTTCTCTTGGTCAAGGCCGCTGAAGTCATGGCAGGCCCCCATATGCATGGGCGGAATGCCACACCTTTATGCCAGGCCACAACTGCAGGTGAAGATCTTTTGTGAAGTCTTGTTGCTGTAGTTTTCTCTGGCTCCCAAGGTGAGACGAAAAGTTCATCGACTCAGCACGAACTTCCTGAAAAGATTCCGTCGTGTTACATTACTATGCAGGCTTCTCGTGGGTGATTGATGAAGCTAAAAGGTGTGTCTTTCCGCATGCTTGGCTGTTGTTGTTCCAGTTTACTTCCAACAGTGCTCGTCGAAACTCCCTCAAGATGGCTTCTATTATGTCCGCCCCGGACTACTCCATGGCTGCGACGAGTCGTTCGCACCTGAGTGTACGTCTGCCAAAAGAAACTCTCTACTCATCTTTGAGGGAATCATCTCGCTACTTTAACTTCGACTCAGAAACAGCCAAGCTTGCCCGAGATGCTGATGAGTGGCTTGCAACGCATCCCAACGGTTCGGGATCTAAGGAAAAGGATGTCAACGGTATAAGTCGACCTTCGTCAATTGCCCCAAGCAACTTTAGTGTTAGGTCTTTACCAGCAGACCACAGTATGCCTGAGTATCATGGTAGAGACTTTCCTCATCCTGTGATGGGCTCAGTGCGTCACAACGAGATTAGACCTCGATCTGCTGCTCCAACAGAGAGTACTGAGAAGCTTCGATCATCGCCTCCCGTGGACGGTGTTGAGCCCACAGGACCTGGTCAAGAGTATCCCACTGGAGTGAAGCTCGCCTTGATCACCCTCGCTCTCTGTCTGGCCGTCTTTGTCATGGCCCTAGGTAAGTTGCCCTCCACGATTAACAGACCCTGCTCACACGTCAGACAACTCCATCATTGCAACCGCAATTCCAAGAATCACCGATGCTTTCGAAAGTCTCAATGACGTGGGGTGGTACGGCTCGGCATACATGCTTACAACGGCCGCACTGCAGCTGTTCTTTGGTAAGCTGTATACCTACGGCAGCATCAAGTGGACCTTTCTGTCAGCCATTGCTATCTTTGAGGTTGGTAGCCTCATCTGCGGTGTCGCCCCCGACAGTGTTACTCTCATCGTGGGACGAGCTATCGCCGGCGTCGGTGGCGCTGGCATATTTGCTGGTGCACTCACCATCCTTGCCTTTTCGGTACCTCTTCATAAGAGGCCTATCTATACTGGTCTTGTCAGTGGTATGTGGGGTATTTCTTCCGTTGCTGGGCCTCTGCTTGGTGGTCTCTTTACAGACAAGGTTTCATGGCGTTGGTGTTTCTACATCAACCTTCCCATCGGTGCCATTACCGTCGTTGTCATTCTCTTCTTCTTCCCCGAACCCGAGCGTGATATCGAGCCTGCGGCATGGCGAGTGCGCTTCTGGCAGCTTGATCCTATCGGAACAGGCATCTTTATGCCCGCCATTGTGTGTCTCTTGCTTGCTTTGCAATGGGGTGGTGTCGACTACGACTGGGATGACTCAGTCATCACATCCCTTTTCATGCTCGCTGCCTTTCTTCTCATCTTGTTTGCTTATGTGCAATACAAGATGGACGAAAATGCCACTGTGCCTCCTCGTATCTTCAAAAAGCGCACCGTCTGGGCTGGCGCCTTTTTCTCATTCAATACGGGCGCTTGTTTCCTCACAGCCATGTACTTCCTGCCAATTTGGTTCCAGGCTGTACAAGGGCAAAGCCCTATCATGTCGGGCGTGAGGAACCTCCCAATGCTTCTCGGCATTGTTCTCTGTGCCATGGCCGCTGGTGCTGCCGTCACTGCCTGGGGCTACTACACGCCCTTCATGATCGCCGGCTCAGTCCTCATGGCCATCGGCTTCGGCATCATCACCACATTTGAAGTCGAAACATCAACAGCCAAATGGATAGGCTACCAGCTCATCGCGGGCATCGGCGTAGGTGTCGGTCTTCAACAATCCCTCATCGCCGTCCAAGTCGTCTGCGAGATGGTCGACGTCCCCACAGCCACAGCCCTCATCGTCTTTGCTCAAACCCTCGGCGGTGCGCTCTGCGTTACGGCTGGTAACACTGTCTTCACCAACACTCTCATCAACAAGATCAATGAGCATGTGCCTGGTCTAGATCCGTACTTTGTCATCGCGACTGGTGCGACGAACATTCGCAGTGTGATTAGAGAGGAGTGGCTTGACGGAGTGATTCTCGCGTACAACGACGCGTTGACGACGAGTTTCTATGTTGGTGCTGGAACCGCGTCGGCGACTATCATTGGTGCGATGCTGGTGGAGTGGAGGAGCGTCAAGGGTCATGACATTGAGATGGGGGCGGCTTAGGTAAGGGTCAGAGTGTCCATGATGATGGTTGATGTCGGTAGTGAGAGAGGTGACGGGTAGAATATAATGAGGCTGAGTACGGTAGATGGTAGCAGTACGTTCTTTATGAATGATGACGATTTGTTTGATCTTTAACAGGGTTTAATTGCTATGTCTTGTTTATGCCCGAAATGTGCACCTCTGAAGATCTCAAACTACCCTGCACCTAGAAATATTGCCAGTCTTTATTCTCTAGACTTGTATAATATTACAAGTCTTCTACTCGCTTGTCCCTTGTCTTGGATTGTATTTTCTATCACTAAGTCATTATTCATATATCAGAGTCAACATGGCCATTGTCACTGTTCATCTTACTCAATGTATTCATATTAATTTACGGTGCATGCACAAAGCAACGGGCAGTAACAAGAACAGCATCTGCATACACGTTAACAAATAGGAAAAGAAGAACAACAAGTACACTGCATTTCATATGCCATGCAACAAAGGATTCATCTCAATTCATCTTCAATTGAGGAATGTCGTCGCGACTAAGCTACGTCCTTCCATCTTCAAAAATGCACGCTCTTAAGCTTAAGTGAGTGGAGCCAATGAAATCTCGCGTTAGAGCTCCAGAGCGGCCGTTCCCGCGGGATATCATGTGACGCACCATAAGCGAGCCAACGCAAAAATGGGGCGATATCAAAACTCAGATCCTCACCAAAACAACACGAAAATGCCTCACCAGCATCACCAACGCCAAAAAGAATCAATCAGGGCTCCACCGGGGATTGAACCCGGGACCTCTCGCACCCAAAGCGAGAATCATACCGCTAGACCATGAAGCCGAATCGTAGTTATTGTTATGAGACTCGTAAAAGCGCGATATGATCGTAAAGTTTTGGCCAGGGAGAGTCTCCAGCCCCCGCCACCCTCTCACTGTCCACCCTCAGAAGCCTGTCAGCAATTTCCCAGCCTCCCAGTACACGTTCTCATGCTCGTCAAGGTCACTCATTTCCATCTGTAACAGGACAACCTCATCATGGTATCTCAAACTCATGGGACTCGAAAGCTAGCAACACATTTTGGCAAATTATACGAGACGCACTGTTCACGTGAGAGATCACATTTCATCCTCTCCAAGCGTATCGGTTGCTCTTTTTGACATACTCTTCTGGTCTGCTCTGTGTCAGATGAGGCTTTCCGGACTCTCGGAGCTCCCCGCATCACCAACACCGAGTGGGGCCGACGGAAACCAACCATTCTGAAATAGCATGACAACTCGTTTCTTAGCATCATTCATTAGACGCGGGAATATATTAGAGTAAAGGCTATGTGTAAAAGCCTCTTATTACATCAGAATCCATCGACAGCCAACGTTACGCGTGGCAAGCGGGGATTCCTCATATCATGCTTTGTTCTGTCGAACCGCTGCTCCATAATCCCTGCATTTATAAATCATACAACCAACATGCATATAACCCTAGCCACCATTGTGCCAGTCAGCCCCCGTTGAAGTCAGTTTACGTGCGCCGAAGTTGACTTGCTTCAAATAGAGCGGGGAAGGATAGACGCAGTAAAACCCTCACGTAAACCGTATCACAATACAAGCTCATGGGTTGGCCTGCTTGATTCAGCATCCGCACTGCACAACTCACTGTTTACCTCATTCCACTTACTTGATGGATTCCGTCGCAACCACTAAGGCTGAGGCAGATGCTCATTTGGAAACTCTTCGTCAAAAGAGGGGCGTTGGTAGAGAACAACCAGAGGAGTCTGTTCTTGTACAAAGTCTGGACCAGGCACTTAAAATGCGTGTACTTTTATCCAGGAGTATGATGTCTTGTACTGACTACTTACCAATAGCGTTTCCGATCAACTCTACAAAGCTTCAACACATTTCATTCTCGAGTTAATCCAGAATGCAGATGACAACCAGTATGATTCTAAAATTGTGCCCAGTCTGCGACTGGTATTGTACAATAATGGAGGTCAGAGATATTTCCGGTCTGACTGTAACGAAGTCGGCTTCACTTTCAAGCAACTTGACGCTCTGACGCGAGTTGGTCAAAGTACCAAGGGCGCCGCCATCGACAATTCAAAGTCGTATATTGGTGAAAAGGGCATCGGATTCAAGTCTGTGTTCAAGGTAGCTGATGTGGTCCACGTCGCAAGTGGGTTTTACGAGTTCAAGTTTGACCGCAATGCTCGCATCGGAATGATTCTTCCCATTACCTCACAATTTCCTACTGCAGATCGCGTAGTTGATCATACGCAGTTCTTGCTGGAGTTGAAAAGTCAACGCGACTACGATGTCATCAAGGAGGAGCTAAACAGTATCGAGCCAGACCTGTTGCTCTTCTTACGAAATCTGGACCAGGTCCATATATCTATTCGCGGCTTGAACAAGCGGTATCGACGCAAGGTCACCAGATTAGACCCGAGATATAACGGAGAAACTGTAAAGATATCTGTTCAGGGCGACGCTGTAACCTCAAAAGAATACATCGTCCACCGACATACGGTCGAAAAATTACCTCCAGTGCCCCAGAGAGAAGGCATTGGTTCTTCCGAGGTTGTGATAGCATTCACGGTCGATAATGAAGCCACTCTCGTATCCACCACTCAAAAGGTGTTTGCTTTCCTCCCAGTTGATGACTTTGGCTTCCGTGTAAGTGACCCTTCAGTTGAAGCGAATATACGTAGGCAGGCAAGAATATAACACTAATGGCTTACTCGGGTTAGTTTCTTATCCATGCGGATTTTATACTTGTAGCCAGTCGAGAGGGTCTCGATGAATCGAGCCTTTGGAACTGGTCTCTCAGGGATGCAATCCAGACTGCCTTTGTGGACGCAATCCTTCGTCTTGCTACACTATCCCCTATCCAGGATGGGGAGGGACTGTGCTACAAGTGGCCGAAATACCTCCCTCGCCATCCTGAAACCTCAGGATTTTGGCATGGTCTACATCAAAATATGATAAATGCCATGCGTGATACACCTTTACTTGAGTCGCGAGCGGACGGCGCTCTACGAAAGCCTACTGATCTCTACTACGTACCTAAAGTTTATAGATTTGAGAATGGAGCTCTTTTCGACCTCCCGTCACTATTGCGCTCACACTTGTCATTCAAATATGATAGTGTAAGGTTGGAACTCTCCCTAATTGGGGTCGACGGTCTTGACATCAATGATCTGTGGCGAGAATTTTCCCAATGGATCAAAGAAGTTGGAATCGACGGCCTAAAGACTCGGCCAATCGAGTGGCATCAAAAGGTCAGTTCGATCTTCTGCGGTCAACAAGAACTACGAGAGAAGCTCCGAAATTTACCAATTGTCCCTCTTCGAGATGGTTCATGGGTCAGGGCACACCGAGATCGCGTCTTTTTTACTTCTACGCACACCGAAGAGCACGTACCCACTGGCATTAAGCTATTTCTCGTGGATCGCTCTGTATCTAAAGATCCAGAAAGAAGAAGATTCCTCAGTTTCTTGGGAATTCAAGAATACAGTCCCACCCAAGTTTGCGAACTGATTATCAAACTTCACCATGATCTGCCCCCGGGGGCCAGCCGCACAGAAATGGATCTTGTCACAGACGCTCTTTATCTTTTTGATCATCGAACGTGTCTCGGATACGAAGTTCCTGATATTGAATTTGCCGCTATAAAAGGTGGAAAGACCATTCGAAGCAGAGAGCGTCATCTTTACTTGGTCGACCCCGATGTCAAGCCTGGTTTGATAGCAAAATATCAGTATACTGCGCAAAGTCCACTCGTGGTGCTCTCTGATAAGTATGAGGCCGAGCTCTGCAAAGACCGACCACGAGAAGACGCAGAGCTTTTTCGACGGTGGCTCCTGGGATCCACATATCGAGAGTTTTCCACAGTCCCGGCACTTTTACACAGTAACAAACTAAGCGCCGAGTGGCACTTTCTTCGCAGTCACGATGTGATGGATTTACTACAAGCCATCAGGCTACAATGCGACAAAAAAGCCATTCTATCCCCCAGAATCATCAAGGCTGCGGCAGAACTCCAAGTGCCTGGCTCCGATGGATATTGGAGACCACTAGGTCGCCTAGCTTTCCCGACTACGGAGCTGAAACAAAAATGTCCGCATCTCGATTTTGTGAGCCTTCCGAATCCTGAAGTGTACAACTGGGGGTTTCTATCAGTTCTGGGCGTCTTGACCACCCGCAATACAACAGCAACCCTACGAGAGCTCCAGAAGCTTGCACAGCTGCAGGTAGATGAGGTAGATAAGGATGCAATAAGAGAAATCTACGAAGCACTGAACGCAAGCATGCGATCCGAGTGGAAGGAGATAAAGTGGGTAAACCCACAACATCAATCTGAACGTCAATGCTAAACACGCCACAGCACAGCTTTCCTAGAAGAGCCCCTTGTTTTTGTTCCAAAACCAAAGCCAAGATGGTTAAGTCATCTCTCCTGCGTCTGGGATGGTCCAGGTGCTCTGAAGCAGGTCACAAAACTCAGAAACCGCTACCCCGCATGCAGACAGTTATTCCTATCCATCCTGTGTGTGAAGCAAGCCAGCACTGGAGATATTGTCGAGGAACTGTGTTCTGTCTCAGATGAAGGCGATGTGGCTGCCCAGCGCTTTAGTGAGCTGTTCTTTTTACTAGAGCGCTATCGTTCTGATCATGAAGAGCTGAGCAGGGATCAGGTTCGAAGAATTCGAGAAGCGGCGGTATTTCCTATTGTGGTTGAAGGGGAAAACAGTGATGAACAGCCGAATATCACACTACAGTCTATATGTGAGGGTGACTGGTACGTTCCAGACCAAATACTTCTGGAGCGAGCTTTTCGATTCAGGGTCGCTATGCTTAGCATGCCTGTAAAGGACGTCAAGGTTTTGCGTGACCTCTTTGAGGATCTGGACTGCGAGCAACGGTTTCTCTCTTGTGCTGTTGAGCAATCAACTGAACTGAGAGGCGCATGCATTCGTGACTTGGGCCGGGAAAGTGATTTGATGACTCGTCTTGACTTTATTGCGTATGTATAACTATATTACGCGATGGGTTTGCGCTCACATATTGATTTCTAGGCTAGCGACAGATCAGTCGGCACTTTTCGAGGATATTACGCTGCAAATGTGGTCGGTATCATCAATCCTAACTAAAAGTCGATTGGGAGACATTGAGATCAGCGATGAAGACGAGTTAATCACGATCAGAGATGATGGAGAGGTCACAAACATATATATCCGCGAAGATATAGCCATGGCCAAGCAGTTCCAGGTCGATCTTGAATTGCTGGAGCATTTCAGTAGTCTATTGGACCTTGATGCCGAGCACACCAAGCTGGTCACCCTCCTCCTGAAAGAACCTATTGTCCAACTCTCTGGAATTTTGGAGCGATACAATATTGAAGTACCCGATAACTTGGACAATGGAGATACTGGCAATCAAGAAAGCGACGGTGAGGATCAAGAAAGCACCAGAGAGGATCAAGCGACGACGATTATACATCCAACCACAGCCTACTCAGTTAACGATTCTGACAGAGAGGAAACGATGGAGAGCGGCAACGAAAGCCAGTTTATCGACTTGGCAAGAGAATTCGGGAAACTTAGAATCTCACCAACAGCAGCAGGTGGCAACGATGAAAATTTCACCACTCCAGAAAGCTCGCCTCGACTTATCCAACGGCACGAAGTGATTCCTTCTCACAACCCAAGGAGTCAAGGAATCATCCAAGGACCGGCCGTGTTTCATGCAGACGAGACACCAGTTGCGAGAGCTCCGAGAAGTACTGCCCAGTTTGGTGCTATACTAGACTAACGTCTGCTAACACAAACAGCAGAAGACCCATCTAGCGGGGGA